CATGCAGGACTCAGTGTAGGGAAAAGGGACAGCCAAAGAAACACACCCCGAGCAGAGCCAAAGAAACACACTTTGGCCCCGCAACCAGAACCAAAGAAATGCACCCTGACCCTGAAACCAGTGACAAAGGAACGCACTTTGTCCCGGGAATCAGAGTCAGTGAAAGAAATGCATCCTGGCCCTAAAATTGGAGCCAAAAGGCTAAAAAGGACCAGAGAAAGAAACACACTTTGGCTTTGAAACCAGAGCCAAATCTGACCCTAATCCTGTACAGAAAACTAACCAATCCTCGAGCAGAGCTCTAGCCAATCTGAGCTCAGCACTAAAATCTGACCAATCTCCACCCTGGAAGCCCTATATAAAGCCTGTGTCTGGTTCAGCTTGTGTCTGTTCCCACTACCACTCTGGTAGAGGGCAGCCACTCTCCTGGATTCTTTCCTCCCAATAAACCCTTTCAATGAGCTTTGGGTGAAGATCTTCCTTTGCAGTGGTGGTAGAGCAGAGGCGACCCTGGGCAGAGCAAAGCAGAGCGAGCAGGACTGTAACACTTTTGCCAGGGAAAGCTTCCCTTGGCAGAGCAGAGTTGTTATGCTAGGCTCTCCACTCTCTGCTCTCCCGGAGCAGAGCCAAACTGTAGCAACTTTGCCCGAGAAACCTCCTGCTGAGCAAAACTGCTATACTGGGCGAACATCCCCAGCTGGAAGACCCTGTCCTGCCTGAGCGAACATCCCCAGCTGGAAGACCCTGTCCTGCCTGAGCGGAGCGGGTACACTGGGGAAGCCTTTCCCTGAGGCTGGGCTGTAAGCAGCTAAGCTTACTACATACAACCTGTGGTGGTCCTTGGCTCCCGAGCTCCAGGATACCTTTCCACCTGAGCTGTGTAACACTGAGTATTCTGTGACTCTCGAGCTCCAGGATACCTGACCCATCCTGATCCGCCCGAAATGCCAACAGCCAGTACTTTCCCTCTACTATATGGGTCTCAGGGAATTGAACTCAGGTCCTTATGCCTGGTGCGAGTGGTTTCACCCTTTAAACTATGTGGCTGACCCCTAGGGACTTGAGTGAATCACTGTCTCCCATCCTTTGCTGAGAGGCTCTGTATGGGTTGTGGTCGCCTTCAATTCCTACTTGTATCAACCCTCAAGGTCAGTCAGACTTGACTGATCCTATCTCAAGCCTTTCCTGACGTGCACACCGTCACCGACACACAGATTCCCAGGAATATGTCAGCGGCTCCAAATCTCCCCATGGCCATCTCATGCCTGTTCTTTATCCTCCTCTGACTGTTCCTGCTGTTGTCTCCATCTTAGGTAAATGTCATCTTATACTCACTCTTGGCTTAAGTTATTTAGTAGCAATGCCTGGTGTTAGGATCTTTGTTAATGAGCAAACTCTGAGTCAAATCAAATAAAGTCAGGCCCTAAAAATGGGCTTTTCCAGGGAGCTGACACGAAGTCAAATAGTGACAAGTGTCTTTGGAATGTGGCTTTGAGGGACATTGAGCCTATTTTTCTCCTTTCAGTGGCTGCTAGGCTACTTGTTGTGTCAGCTGTTATGACCTGAGTCCACTGGTCTCCATGGCCGTGGGGCTGAAACAAGGCTAAGACAGGGCAAATGCCATCGAGTCTGCTATTTCCAGTAACAAGCAGACATCATTGTTACAAGTCTAAAGTCCAGACTTCCAAACATGCTGATTCGGGTGATTTTTGTCTACCTGCCCCATTGAGAAGTCCTTATTTTGCCATTTGAGGTGTGTTCCTCTCTATCTATGGTAATTCCTGTACTGTCCCTTAATATAATGTCATGTTTAGGATGAACTGAAGAATGTTTTGTTTTAGTTACACTTTAGGAGACATCTTTCTATGTCTTTTCTCTTGTGATTATTAGCTCTATGGGTATGCTCACAGCAATAAGGTGACCTTATATGTCACCTTTTAACTTGCTGTGGAGTTATTTATCAAGAGTCAAAATGGCTAGCAATATGTTAGAATAGGCCATGAGGATTCAAGGTATTGTGTGTGGACTTTGTGATGTTGTACTTACTCAATTATTACTTCGACCTTCTCCCTGTGTTCTAGAACAGTGGTTCTCAACCTTCTTAATACTTTGACCCTTTAATATGGTTCCTAATGTTGTGATGATCCCAACAATAAAATTACTTTCATTGCTACCTCGTAATTGCAATTTTGCTTGTTATAAATTGTAACATAAATAACTGTGTTTTCCAATAGTCTACTGGAGAGCCCCGTGAGAGGTTCATTCCCCCTCTCCAAAGGGGGTCACGACCCACAGGTTAAGAGCCACTGTTCTAGATGTGTTTGTATATATTGGCGATAGAGGATGTTTGCTGGTGGTATCTAAGTATGGGAGATGAGAGTCTTACAGTACTCCTGAGGGCACTGGGTTACAGCAACAACAGCATATGAACGAAGACACGAAAGGAACCCGGGTAAGCAGGGGCTGCAGAGCAGTAGAGGGTGAGGACCGTGCCATACGAGGGAAACTAGGAAGAGCGACAGTTCACTGAGAGAACACAAGAAAAACAAGAGAAACGTATCGGGGCAGATGACTGTGCTGATTGGTAATAAAATTCTGGCCTGGTAATAAAATTCTGGCCTCCCCACCATAATCATGCCTCCATGATTACAACCAAGGTTAGAAACGGAAGCTTTTAAACAGTTTTTATATTTAGTGTACATGTGTATGTCTGTGCATGTTCATGCCACAGAGCCTACGTGGAGGTCAGATGACAACTCGCAGGAGTCATTTCTCTCCCCCCACCATGTGGGTCCCAGAGCTTGAACTCCAGAGTGTCAGGCTTGATGGCACTGCCTTTACCTGGGCTCTGGGGTAGCTTTTAGTTTGGTACAGAGACGTCTAATGTGAAGAGCAGGTAACTGAGTAAGCATCACCACTGCCTGGGCCAGGGGAGGCAGAGCTGTTTCCTAGCTCAGGGAGTAATGCACACCCTCAGTTTTAGAGTGAATAAAGAAGGGTTAGGCCAGGGGAGGCAGAGCTGTTTCCTAGCTCAGGGAGTAATGCACACCCTCAGTTTTAGAGTGAATAAAGAAGGGTTAGGGCTGACAGGTCAGTTGGTACATGACGGTGCTGGCCTATGAGTCTGACAACCTATATTTGATAACTAGGGCCCTCAGGATGAAAGTTGTCCTGTGACCTCACAGGGTGCCCATGGCATGCCCCCTCAGATGGGGTCACTGAACAGAGCTGGTTAGCATGGCGTCTCTGAGGGGTCCAGAATGGGATGAAGGCGGAAGGTAGTGAGGACAGCAGGAGTCCAGGCTAAATCATCATCCAGGAGCCCGCAGATAAAATTCATGTGTTTGATGCTTTTGCTAACGTAAGAAAGTGAAACTTTGCTGGGGTAGAAGAAATAGGTACCATTAACATTCTGATGTAGTATGACAAGTGTCCCTTTCCCAATCGTGACTCCTCACTGTGACTGTAAAGGGAACCATCTGCTTTGATGTTTTTCCTTCCACATAATTTAAAAATCTAACCAACCAAAGACCAACAAAGGATACCCCCGCCCCAATTTGACGAAGGACAGCTTTGAGAAAGGAAAAAAATCTGTCATCAGAGATTTTTCTCTGTACCTCCTTGCAGGTACAGATTTCAGCCCAGAAGGTCTGGCTTGAGCCAGTTTGCACCCTACAAGTTCTTGGAGGGACTTGAAGGCCATGTTAGTCCCCTTCACATGGCTCAAACCTAATGCCATTCTTCGCTTTGCTCTATTTAGTAATGTGGGAGTTAATGCCAGGGTTGCAATCTCTGGATACTGGTCACACATCTATCACGTAACCTCTGTCACCTCAGTGCTAGCTGAGATGGGAGGAGGGGCAGAACCTGGAAGGAGGACCAGCAAATGTGGGTAAACATGGGCATGAGGGCGTCTACACAGCTACCCATTTGTACAGCTGCTTATGGTTATACTTGGGTCTCCCAGACACACGTTTTTACAACACCCTGCATGTGACTGAAGCAACTTTTCATAAACTTGATGAAAACTCAAACTTTCCACTTAAAATTCTTGTTTCCAGGGGCTGGAGAGATGGCTCAGCGGTTAAGAGCACTGACTGCTCTCCAAGAGGTCCTGAGTTCAACTCACAATCACCTGTAATGGATCTGGTGCCCTCTTCTGGCCTGCAGGGACATATGCAGGCAGCGCACTGTATAATACATAAATAAAAATTAAAAACTCTTGTTTCCAGATAATAAAAAACTGGTTTCTTTCTCTTGGGTACAATATCTTGGCCTCCCACTTACCTTTGTCTTTCTAGAATGGAGCATGTTGGAGCAAGAGTAAGCTGTCTCAATGTGGGGACTCTGGATTTACCCATGCTTCAATAAATCATGGAATAACACAGCATACAGTGTTTGCCTAATGAAACATCTGCAAAGTGGTCAGAGCACATGGCTGAGGAAGTCCTAAGTCCAAGCAGGGATTGACTACTGTTAAACTGGCAAGCAGATAAGACAAAGGGGGCTCTAAGCTTTATCAGAAAAGTCTCTTTGCAGGGAATAAAGAAACCCTGCTGCTCAAGGTGGTGAGAAGAGCTGATGGTTGGGAGGTCAGCCCTAACAAGATATTCATACCTCTCCTGCAGAGCTGCTAAGAAGAGGGAGCAGAAAGACTGTAAGAGTTAGAAGATAGACAAGGGCTGTGAAAATCCATCTTCTGAGTACCACAGTCACTGTAACCCTGAACTCACAACAGCTGTGATTATCTGTCCCGGGACTGCACAAGACTGGCCCTGTCACAGTCATGGGACCCCCTAACTACTGACAGACTCTGGGAGAAGGGGAGTCGTTTGTTCAGTTGTACCAACTGGTGGGCTCTTTGGGCTCCAATGGACAGTTCCAAACCCATGGTCACACAGATGACCCCAGTTAAACTCAGGGGGTCACAAAACAAAACAGACATGGATTTGGGAAAGGGTTTTATAGGAAGGAGGAGCACCATATTTATAATCACTTACATACACATTCTTGCACTGGTCTTCAGAAATTAGAGTAGATATATAAATACGTCATGCCATTTCAAATGACTGCAGATTCTATCTCTTCCGGCAGTCTAAGGCTAGACCAAATGCTTGCCCGATGACTCACAAGACTTCAGTCAATGCTAGTAGTAGTTAAGACAGTGGCGAAATCATTGTGCTTTTCACTTCTACAGGAAATGGTGTAAATGAGTTAATAGTCAAGGGTAACTCCCCTGTGTACACCACAGAAGTCTACAGTACCCATTACTTTACCACATTTTAAAGAAACAAGTAATTTAGGTAAACTTGTATGGAAAGAAGACATACTATTTGGCAAAGAATAAAATATGTAAACAACACATTAATTAGTTACAAAGTAAAAGCCTATACTTTCTACATGTTGAAACATGAATAGACCTAAATAGCCCACAAAAGGCCTGGGTACCTCTAACCAGCTGACAACAGAGGCTGTGTGGATGGCAGGAGAGAGACGGAGTTTGCTGTTGCTGCTGTTACCTGAGCATTTGCTATGGATGAAATGTGAAAAAGAGAAGCCAGAATGTAACTGGTCGACAACAGTCAGTCAGCCTTAGCTAGACTTAGTTAGATACTGAAGGTGGAGGGGTGGTGTTTAATTTTAGCCAAACATGGCTCTGGGTTTGCTCCTCACAGGGAGGAGACACTCAGCCTTCAGGAACACACAGGGTTTCTTTACACATCGAGGGTGCTAGTTTCCTACAGAGAGGACAAACTTAATGACTGACAGTACGATTATCTAACATGAGATACTAGACTTATCAAAAAGGAATTAATTCACAAAATTAGGAGGATTAAGAAAAGATAACACAGCTGGGTGTTGGTGGTGTACACCTTTAATCCCAGCACTCAGGAGGCAGAGGCAGGCAGATCTCTGTGAGTTCGAATTCAGCCTGGTCTACAGAGCGAGTTCCAGGACAGCCTCCCAAACAATACAGAGAAACCCTGTCTGGAAAACCAAACCCCCCCCCAAAAAAACAAAAAAAACAACAAAAAAAGAAAAGATAACACTTACTAGTTCTATATGACAGTGAAGGGGAATTAGTGGTTAGACAAGATTTTTACAAGTGTGACAACATGGTCTTTGAATATTTTGTTAAATAAATGAAAAAGTGTCTTTTTATTAGTTTTCTTTTATCATAATTTATTTCTTCAGTCAATTAGACAGAAAGATTCTGTGGATAAATATCCATAATTTCTAAATTCTGGGGTCACATACACCAGTACCTGACTATGTCACTACTGACCAGCTGCTGAGTGGTTTCCTGGCTCCCATGATCCTTCTGGCTGTGACAGCTCCTCCCCTCCAGACTCCTTCAGTTCTCCTTGGTCATTCTGCCAAACTGGGTCCCACTCTTCCATGGGCCTCCTTTCTTGGGATGGAATTGTCTGGGAGGAGTCTCTGTCTAAAAGTGGCTGCTGGGATATGGTTGGCTCCTGTAATTCTAAACTCACCGAGGGATCTTTCACTGTGCCAGGACCACTAAACACATCATCCGACCTCATGGAGGGCTGTGTGTCTTCCTTACGCTCATAACTGTTTAGCCTTCTTTCAACCACTTCACGGATCAACACTGAAAAGTTCAGAGGTCATTATGAGTTTCCATACTTTCTTTATGGATGAGCAAAAAGCATCATGTAGGCCTTTCTCTTTCCATTAACCTTTATAGATTTACCATATTCAACGACTATCAATTAATGCATTGAACAGGCTATGTTCTTGGCTTCTCTGAGTACCAAGTCCACAGCAACAACAGAAGATGTTCTATGAAGAAACTATAAAAACCCAGAACAACAGAGGGTGGAAACTTCACCCTTGTTAATACAAGTGACAAACCAAGTTTGAGAACCACCACCAACTAATGTTCCCTCCTCAATTACTCTTCCCCACTGAGAAGTTTAGAAGCAGCTTTCATATAAAACAACTTACTGTCAAGCACTGTTCTTCCCACCATGCTGTGTTCCATGGTTTTTTCAACTTCATTCATTAGCCATGGAATGAATCCTATCTCAATGTCTGCAACAAAGAATTTCATTAAGCCATTTCTGCAAGTCATTGGACATTTTTGCTTCCCAACGTAACTGCTCAGAAGCACTGTCTTCCCAACATAAGCCATTAATAGACTCACACAGAACAACTTTTGCATTAGTCTCTGTATATTCTCTATATGCTCTACTCAACTTCCCTTCTCAGTAGAAGCAGTATGTTACAAATCATGAGGTTTTCCACAGAGCCAAAATACAGCTGGGCCCATAGGCACAACCAGAGATGGGCCAAGGAGGCAGGGCAGAGAGGAGATGCTAACCTGGGGAAACTCCACTCAAGTGGAATGCAAGTTGGGGCATGAACATTCCTGGAAAGGAGAAGTCATCCTTGAGTGCAGAGCCAATGGAAACTCACCAACTGGAAGGGTATCTGGGAAGAGGCTGTCTAGAAAGCACTGCTGGTGAGGCGGAGACTAAGCGCTTCTATCAGTAGAAACTTTGCTCCAACTTCAGTGGGAAATCCATTGTGCAAGCACTTTAACAAGACTGCCCACTAAATCTACACTCAAAGTTTTCAAGATGTTTTTTAGGGCATCTATTTAATTGGATGATAACAGAGAGTGATAGAATACAGTATTTGCTCTTATATATAACATATCTCAGGTACAGACAAAAAACTAAAACAAACATTTCTGTGACAGATAGTAAGAGGTCTACTCTATGGTTTGGATCTTAACTATTTTCCCCAAAACTCGTGGGTCCCAGCTGATGGTGTGTCAGGAGGTGGGGTCTACTTGAGGAAGAATGTGTTCTTGAAGGGCATATTGGGCCACGCCTCTTTTGTTTATTGTGACAGCTTTGATTTCCTACACAGACCCAGAAGCAATGGAGTCAAGTGACTACATGTGGATCTGTATCGGAATTCCTGAACCCTGAGCTAATATCAATCTTTCACCCTTCTCCACTGATGACCCCAGGTGTGCTGTCATGGTGACAGCTGACTGACACCTAGCTAGAACACAAGATAGGATGGAAGCAGAACAATGCTGCAGTTCCATGTCATCTTGAGACCTAAACAGTTGAGCTGGCTGGCCTTGGTTGTAAACTTGACTACATCTGGAATTAACTAAAGCAGAAGCAGCTGCGCACACTTGTGAGGGCTCTTTCCTGAGCAGGATTATTTGAGGTGGAAAGACCCACCTAAAACCTGAGTCACACTTTTTGGTGGTAACCTATACAAAGGACATGGAAGGAGGAAGCTTTTGCTTTTTGTCTGCTTGCCCTCAGAATCACTGGTAAGTTCATCCCTTCCCTGGTATTAGAGCCTGTGTCAGGATTCCAATGGATACTGAAGACCAGCTGAGACATCCAGCCTCATGGACCAAACTACTTATTGGATAAAGTCACTCTGACAAAGACCATTTTTATATAATAGACTCATTCTGTTTATCAGCCCTGCTCTCTATAGAGCCCTGACTAACACAGGGGTGAGGCTCCATCTTCTGCTAAGGGTGCAGAGACTTCCTCGGATGAGATAAATGCTTGAGAACTTAAGAGTTCAGTTCTTAGCTGCTCCATCCCAAGTGACAGTGTGTCCTTCTGTACCAATAGTGCCTGTGTTTATCCTTCAACAGCCCGAAGCTGGCACTTTAATATTTGTTGAATTCAGCCAATCTTAGAATGAGGGCCTCCGTCTGATTTTCTTCAGCTTCAGCTTTGGGGCTTTGGAGAAAGATTCTCTTCCCTCCTACTTAGAAACCTCTAGACTTTTATGTGCATCTTGAGTCAGTCAGTTTTATCACTGAGCTCACTGTTGTCCTTTGCCACCTGAGATGGTAGTAGTTGGCTAATTTTATCATGGAACCCATTGTTTTGTCAATTTACCCAGAGAAGTTAGGAGCAACCAAACCAGCATAATAATTTCTATTTTTTCCATAAATTGTCTAGGTTTCATATACAGTGTCACTGAATTCCTTGATTCTCACAATAGGTCAATTGAATGCATTTTTCTAGATAAGTCTGTTAAACAGTTCACATCACAGGGTTTTAGTGCTCTCCATGCTTCTGAAAGAGGCTTTAGTAATTGTATGTGGTGGAAATCAGAAAATCCGTTTCAGATTTTGTTTTCCTGGTTTTTCAAGACAGGGTTTGCCTCTGTAGCCCTTACTGTCCTGAAACTCGCTCTGTAGATCAGGCTGACTTCAAACCCAGTGATCCACCTGCCTCTGCCTCCTGATTGCTAGATTAAAGGACTGTGCCACCACTGTCTGGAATGTTCCAAATACTTTAAAAAATCATCCTTATACTTTTGTTGCTCTACAACCACATATAGTGTCAAAAATGTGGTAGCCAAGGTTCTCTAGTGAAATAGAACTTATTGAATGAATCTATGTATATAAAATTTCATGTACTTCATGACTTAATTCCTAAAAATATTATCATTTCAAACATGAAGAAACTGGAGGTCATAAAATTAATGAAACTGGGACCTTAACTCATGTTTTGACATCAAGTCCATTGTTCTTTCTAATATATAACCCTGCTTCTCAATAAAGAGATGCTAATGACACCTTTTAATACCTTGCTTTAAGTATTTGAAATTTGCTTTTGATAAGTAATAATGGTACATATTTAGAGGACATGATACTTATTATGAACAATATTTAAACAACTATAATTGATTTTTGTTTCAGAAATATAAAAAATACAACTGAAAATAAAAATGGTCACAAGGCAGTGCATAGTGACACATACTTGTATTTCCAGCATCTAGGAGGAGGAGGAGGAGGCAGGAGGATCATGAGTTTGAGGTTGACCTAGATTACCAAAATAAAGTTAGGCCAGTGATCATACACATTAAATAAATCTGAGGCAGTGAGAACATTCTCAGTGTAACAGAATGAATCTAACAAAAATCTGCACAAACCTCTTTCAACAGGATCATAAAAGTAGCCGCTGTTCCTGAGACTGTCAAAGACAGATGGGAGAAGGTCAGCCAGGTACCGCTGGGCAAACGCACGCGCCGAGATCTTCTGGGATGTCTCGTTGTGCTTATATACGATTTCCCACTGCTGTCTCTTGCGGCGCTCCTGTCAAGGGAAAAGTGTCACTGCATATGGCTATCTGAATAGTTTGTCCTCTCCAGCACCGGGACTAGTGAGGCTGTGTGTGAAAGAGCCCATAGCTGCCTCAAGTGCTCAGCACGGTTCCTTGGCAAGGACTCCCTGCAACACAGTACGTTAGAGCAATTAGTGGACACTGAGTATGAAGAAATAAAGAAACCTGAGGTGAAACTCATCTTCTGACCCATTTCCAAGTCAAATAATTTCTATGCTTTTTTTTTAAAAAAAGATTTTATGTATTTATTATGTATACAACACTCTGCCTCCATGTATGTCTGAAAGCCAGCAGAGGGCGCCAGATCTCATTACAGATGGCTGTGAACCACCATGTGGTTGCTGGGAACTGCACTCAGGACCTGTGGAAGAGCAGCCAGTGCTCTTAACCCCTGGGCCACTCTGCAGCCCTAGTTTCTATGCTTAACTGCATGCATGCAGCTAAAAAGATAGCAGCAGCCGGATGCAGTGGCACACACCTCTGCTGCCTGCACTTGATGCCTGAAGCAGGAGCATGGCCAGCGAAAGACTATCCTGGTTCACACGGTCGTTGAGACCTTGTCTAAAACTATGACAGATAATCACATGCATTTTTATTAGTAACATCAGAAAGTAGTACTAATATGGAATTTTATCCAATGTATCTCCCATCAAAGAACATAGGCTAATGGTTTGACCTGTGTTTGGTGCCTGTTTGAATTAATAAAGCTGAAATGGTTTTGAAGATCCCAAAAGCTTGTTGCTTTGTGTGTGGTTTTCTCCTTTAGGCCACATAACATCTATAAAGCTAATGAACGCTTTTCTATGTGCCTAAATAGAAGTGGCAGCATTAACATATTTTTCAAATAATCTATTTTCGAGGCTTAAAAACATATATACAATTCTAGATGACTCATATTCTAGAGTTTTTCCCTTGATATATATGTATACTATTTCAACAAAGCTTCTTCAGTCAGTGTTTATTTTATATATGCAAGCAAAGATTTGTGCAGGCACATTTCTCACTATGAGTTCCATGTTCTTCATAAAATATTAGTAATTTTGGAAGAAAATATAAAATCCCGTTGATTAAGTATTGAGTAGAATTTTCTAGCAAATTACTTTTCTTCACAGTGATGTGGGCTCTTTGGGAAGTCATTATCACTGGTGTAAGCACTTTGGCACTACTTTCTGTTTCGGCACAAAGAAAGAGTGACAGCCACCATCAACAGAAAGACCCTTAAATATAATTAAGTATAGATTTTTGTAGCTGTAGGCTATGATACACTGTTAAAATGAGTTATAAAACTCTTCTTACTGAAGGTTCATAAAGCATAATTTGGAGACCAGGTCCTGCCCTCCAAGAAAGAGACTTGGCACTCTCTCCAGGTGTCTGCTCATCACCCATCAGCCCCCAGCATCCCCACCCTCCAAGAAAGAGACTTGGCACTCTCTCCAGGTGTCTGTTCATTACCCATCAGCCCCCAGCATCCCCACTTCCTCCCTTCCTTTCATCTTTCTCTACTGGATGATAGCAAATCACGGTATTTCTTTCTCTAATGCTCCTTCTAACTCTTGTTAGTTAACAGCATCATCCAGTTTGGACACGTGTAATATGGGAACCCGCATTTCATTGGGAGCTTTTGGAAGCTGACTAAGATACATTACCAGGAGGTGGAACTTACAAAAAGTAAGTCAGCCACGAGAGATTTACGATCTACAGGAGAGCCTGAGCAACACACACTGCAGCTCTTCTTCACACATCTTTAAAACCATCACTAGCTTCATGTAAGCTTGAATGCAATGCATTAAGTAGCCAAAAGACTAAAGAACAGCTCCAGGTATTACACATAGAGGATGGAAGGCCTGGGTTCATTCCCAAAGAAATCAGAGAAGTAAAAGAGCAAGACAGAAGACAGACGGACGGATGGACAGACAGCTCCACCTTCTCTTCTCGGTGCCTTCTCTCTTGCTCCTCCAGTCTCTGCACTTCAGCCAGTTCGACGTTGCGTATCTCTTCATATTTGTACTGACTGGCCCGCAGGTTGGCCAGCTCCTCCTCTTCCATCACTTCCAGAAGGGCCTGCTCAATCGTCTTCCCCACCAGGACTTGTAACATTGGTTTGACTTCAAGGTCAAAGTCAAAGAGCTTAAACACAAGAAAGCAAACAAATTTTAATCCTGAACCAAATGTGGAAGAGAAGGTAAAGGAGGGTGACGGGGGAGATGGCTGTGTGTCTGGGAAAGGAGAGGGTGACAGGGGGATGGCTGTGTGTCTGGGAAAGGAGAGGGTGTCGGGGAAGATGGCTGTGTGTCTGGGAAAGGAGGGTGTCTTTGTTACGTACGTAAGTAAATATGTAAGCAAAATGGAATGTGCAAAAGTGTTTGTAATGATTTTTAATGTGAAAATAGGAATAATCAAAATAGTAAACTTAAAATCATTTCTTCCTGGGTGGTGGTGGCTCACACCTTTAGTCCCAGCACTCAGGAGGCAGAGGCAGGCAGATCTCTGTGATTTTGAAGGACAGTCGGGAAAGCAAACCAAAACAAACAAAAAACATTTCTTGGTATTACAGGATAAAACCACTATAGGTACTATCTGGAAAGAAATCCAAACAGTGAATTTGTTTGGGAAATGGTTTTTGCCTCTGTGAAGCTTTACCTGCGCCTAACTGAATGTCACATTTGAAGGAAGAGGGAAGCCAGAAGGATGTACTGTACCTCTCCTTCTAGTATCTGAGTGGCCACATCTTTGCCAGTTTTGGCAGGAATGAAGAGTGGTGTTGGTGGTCTGTCCAGAAATGCATCTGTCTGGCATTCCATGTCGACTTCAACTATGCGGTCAACAATTTCTTCAAGGTATAATTCTAGAAAGAACATTATGTGCAATGGATATACAATTAGTTATGGTTTACTTTAGGTATAGACATATATTTGAAATGTCAGCTCTCCACAAATAGAAGTAAGTTACCAGGCATTCAATTCCAGCACTTAAGAGGAGGCTGAGGCAGGAGGATCTCATATTTAAGGCCGACCAAGTGAGTAAGAGATTGCATCTTTAGTAAATACAGGATTTGTTATAGTGTGCTGAGAATTTAAGAACTCTGGGAATTTTAAGAACCATGTACCAAACTAACTTGCTCTTTGGTATTCTTTGCATGCACAGTTTAGAAACAGACACTTACAAATAAATGTCACAGTAGTAACTTGGTGAGGCAGGGCCATGTGACACCACACAAAGACTTGGACACTGGTGTCAAATGCTGAACAGAGTCCAGTCGAGACAGAGCTCTCTGCCCTCAGTTCCTCAGGTGTAAAAAGGATCAAAGTCACTTGTCACATGGACTCTTTAACACAGGAGAGTCACAGGTAAAGGGACAGAGGGAGCAGTAAATAAGTAGGGCTGTATCATTGAATGTTCAGATGAAATCACGCTCGTGTCATCTTCTGTGGTTATGACATGATGTGGCATCTACAAAGTTCAGACCCATGCAATCAAGGTGCAAAAACAAAGTTAGTAAACCTCTCATGTGCTGAGTTTGCAGTTTTGTGTTGGCCGCATTTATAGCTTTTGGACACACCTAGGACCAAGACTAAGCCTTAGTCAGAATGGCAAAGATGGCAAATCCCTGACATTCACTCATTCTAGGCTTGGCTCAAGGGCAGGGGAAGAGGTGTAGTTTATTCTTTTTCTTTAACTCCAGAGATAACCTTGGTAAATTTTCTCATGGTCTCCACTGGATAGAAGAATCTCAAGTCACATCAGTCTCTAGAAGACAAGTATTGTCAGCTCACCAAGATTCTGTCAATAGGAAATGCCTTGTCCAGCAGGGTTTGGTCCTGGAAACTTGACTAGGGGCAGCAAGGGAAAGAAGAAAGGACAGACACATGTACAGAAAAGTTGGGGTGAGGGGGGCTATGCTCACTCTGCTGGTGTCGCACCTACTATCACAGTAACCCAGAATCTCAGCACATTTATTATGTACCTCATGGGTGGGGATGGAAAGTGGTTAGCTAGTCTGGGCAAGCAGTCTCGAGGAGGAGGAGTCTGCAGTTGCTAGTTTTTTCACACACTGGTCAATCACTTGTAAACACTCATTCACACACCGTCCACATTCACATTCAGACCAGTAGGAGGCTTTGCCAATGTCCCGTGGGTCTGCGGTATTAGTCCTTGCCATGGTCATGCCTATGCCAGCAATGCACATTCACTCAGAACTTCCTCTGCTGTTTACACATCCAGTCAGGGCCTCCTCAGCTCCTCAAAATGAAAGGCTGCACAGGTTACAGAGTGAGAGAAGCAGCAAACCTTGGAACCTGCCTAGGAGCACCTACGCAAAGTCGCGGAGAGCAAAGGAGAGGGCCAGTGCGAAAGGCAGATGACTAAGTACGAGTGGCTTGCTCTTTCTGACAGAGAAGTAAAATGTGCAGACAGAGCTGCAAAGCTCTCCTGGCAGTCTTTTTTTTTCTTTTTCTTTTCCCCAGAGCTGAGGACTGAACCCAGCACTTGAATGTCAGTGTTAGGCAAGTGCTCTAACACTGAGCTAAACCCCAACCCCTCCTGTCAGCATTGATGAAAAGAAGAGTGACTCATGTTGGGTTGTGAGCAATAACTCTACTTTGAAACTGTGCTGGCTAATTTTGTCAACTTGATACCTGGGAGGAGGGAAATTCAATTGACAAAATGCCTCCATAAGCTTTGCTCTAGGCAAGCCTGTGGAGCATTTTCTTAATTGGTAATTGACGGGGAAAGGGCCCAGATTGTGGGTGGTGCCATCCCTGGGCAGGTGGCCCTGGGTTCTATAAGAAAGCAGGCTGAGCAAGCTATGGAGAGCAAGCCAGTGAGCAGTGCCTCCATGGCCTCTGCATCAGCACCTCCAGGCTCCTGCCCTGTCTGAGTCCCTGTCCTGACTTCCTTCAGTGATGGTCTACAATGGGGGAAAGTGTGCGCCAAATAAACCCTGTCCTCCACACTTGCTTTTGATCAAGGTGTTCCATTACAGCAACAATGGCCTCAACTAAGAGCCACATAACATGGGGGAAGGGTGTAACAACCTGTGCTCTGTGCCTGTTGACTGAACAGACTTCCTCACCGTGGAACTGCGGAAGGACTGATAAGCACAGGAGATCCACAGATGATAGAAAGGAAAGGAAAGTCTAAGTTCCAGTGGGCTGACATGAATGGCTTGTGAGCCATGAAGCCAGCAGCACGGTTAGCTACCTGTCTGTACATCCACGTGCTTTCTGCCCTCCACGGGCTCGGGCGTCCGGGGTCTGAGCTGCGCCTGGGCTCGTTTTCTGGCAAGAGCCCTCCTCCTGGCTTGCTGCTGTCGCTGAAGCTCCAGAGGATCAGGCTGTCCAGGCTGAGAGGGACAGATGAGGCTTAGAAATATCAGACATCACTTCTCAAAGCACAGTCGCTGCCACCAAAGCATGTCAGCTAACGCCTCTGACTGGTGGTGCGCTGTGGCCATTTGTTGGAATGTGATCAGGTGATTCGAAGCTAACAGCAAATCCTCACTGGGACACATGGGTGTAGAATCCTAGCTAATCACCCATTTTTCCTCAATCAAGCACTTTTACCATCAGTTCCTCTGCTGCCTAGTAAAAGGGATACATTTATTCTGGTACAGTAAACGTTGGTGGATAGTTAAGAAATTGAAAACCACTAGGACTTTTGTTTTAAAGATCTGAATTCAATTGACTAGATTTCCCTTAAATATTTTCAGTTCAAAGAGAAAACATTCTGAGTCCAAAGAAAGTTTCAAGCTGGGCCATGGTGGTGTACGCTTTTAATTCCAGCACTTGGCAGATATCTGTGAGTTTAAGGCCAGCCTGGAGTGCCAAGACAGTCTCCAAAGCTACAGAGAAATCCTGTCTTGGAAAAAAAAAGGCTTCTTCAAGTACAAAAAATAAGTTGATTAGAGGGCTGAAAACACTGCCTTTTTTTTTTTTAAAGACTTATTTATTTATCACACATACAGTGTTCTGCCTACATGCCAGAAGAGGGCACCAGACTGAATTGTAGATGGTTGTGAGCCACCATGTGGTTGCTGGGAATTGAACTCAGGACCTCTGGAAGAGCAGTCAGTGCTCTTAACCTCTTCTCTCCAGGCCCCACACTGCCTGTTTTAAGTCAAGACAATTACAAAGAGAAAAAGGAAATTAGAGAGTATTTTGTATGAAAAATTTCAATATTTAAAATGTGAAGTTTAAATGCATTTTAACTCTTGTGTGTAACTGTGTACATTTGTATATGAGCATGTTCATGTCTCTGAGTGTGTGTGCCATAGCTGGAGGACAAACTCAGGTCCTCACGATGACTGCAAGGCACACACTTTGATAACTGAGCATCTCCTGGCTCCCATTTTCATTTTTAATCAACAGGAAGCAGTTGTGTTTATTCACAGGCCACAGTGTGACATTTTAACATACATATATAATGTGTAGTGATCAGATTATCACAATGAGCATGCGACATGTATATGCGTTGGGAATACTTAAAATCCTATTAGCTATATAACAATGTTTTAAAAAACATTACATACAAGGAATTCTACAGCCTATAACTCCTTGAAAGTGATTTACTTTTTCTCTGCTAAGTTGCTTATTTGTTTGTATAAATATTCACAATTTTTCACCTCTGGTTAAAATAATTTTGACTGCTTTATAATTCCTACATCTTATAATTCCTCCATCTGAGTTACCATATATTGTCATCTTGATTGCATTATCTCATATGAGACTATCCTGGTTTTTATAATGAATAACTTTTTACTGTTAGAGATTTGGAGCCCTATGTTGTGAGACTTCAGGTCCAACGCAGACACAGGCATGGGATCTACTGCTTAGTTTGTAACGCTACACAGATGGCCATTTGCAGGGTTTACAGAATTACTGTTTGTGACGTCTGTGCCAAGAAATCACCACTTACTCCTATGGCATGTCTTGCTCATCTCTGTAACCAAGGTATTCAGCCTAGCTAGACCCTCAAAGTAAGTAAGTACTTCTGATTAGGTAATATGCATTCAGACTTTTCAATTAAATAACATCAGGAGGATATGATAAGACAATCTAAACAAAACTAAATGTGTCAGGCGCCAGCCAGAACATGGCTTCACACTAGTGGTGTCTGTGAACTGCTTAATCCACAATAATTTAATTCAAAAACCCAAAGTCAAAGTTTAGAAACTTTCAGAGGGTCCACTAGGATCCTGTTGAATAAAAAATTAGGGCTTATTTATAATTGTGGAAAATACATAAAATGTAAAAGTTACCACTTTTTCCTTTTTATGGTGAGGAATGTATTGGTTGGTGAAAGGGCTCACCCCTTGGAGCAGACTGAAGAAAACAGGTTTATTTAGTACTGTAGAGAGCGGAAGATGGGGCAGAAACAGTGAACTGCCCATTTCGTCCACTGTCCTTAAGTATACAACTCCGTGGTCCTGAGAACAGCCATACTGCAGTGACCACCCCACTGCTCGCCCTCAGAACTATTTATTTTTCTGAAACTCAAACTCTGGGCCCATCAAACAATAACTCCTTTCCCCTCTAGCTCCTGCAAGTACCTATATATATATGTATGCACACACATACATATATAAACACATACATATGCATATATACACATACACACATACATACATAATACATACATACACACATAATACACACATGCTTTGGGGGACAATGTTGGGGACTGAACTGAAGGCCTTGCATATGGTAGGCAACTACTCCATCATTACCCACACCCCCACCATCTATTTATTTAAAAAATTCACTCTTCAAGTAATTTTTTTATTTCATTTTATGAATATTTTAGGTGACAGATCAAAATGTGACACAAACATACAACTGATCCCTCTCCACAGGTAACATGAAAGCTGTTAGACAGCTGTCACATTAGCTTTTATTGTGGGCTTGACACAAACCCAGAGCCTTCTGGGAGGAGAGAAGCTCAGTTGAGGAACTACCCAGATTGGATTGGTCTGTGGCTTTGTCTGCACAAGACTGTTTTGACTAATGGTCGGTGTGAAGGACCCAGCCCACTGTGGGAGGCACCATCCCTAGGCTGTGTAAGCGTGAGCTCCTTCCTGGACTCCCCTCAACGATGGGTGGTGACCTGGAAGTGTTAGCCACAGAAGCCCTTCCTTCTCTAACTACTTCTGGTCACAGTGCTTGTTACAGCAGCAGAACTGAACTAGGATAACTACTCTAGTTGCTTACCACCTGTCCCGTGGGTAGTGCATAGGTGTTGCCTCGGATCACCCTTCTGTCATACATTATGTTTCCATAATTCATAGGTTCTTCAACTCTGAAAAACAAAGTTCTAAGTGAATAGTATAGTACTTAAATCCATTAAGGGAACCCATTTCAATATACTTTAGATTTAAAATATTTTACAGGGACTGGAGAGATGGCTTGGCAGTTAAGAGCACTTGCTCTTCCAGAGAATCCAGGTTTGGTTCCCAGCGCCCACATGGCATCTGACAACCATCTGTGATCCCAGTTTCATAGGACCCCGTGTCTGTGGTGTGAGGTACATATACATGCAGACAAAACCCTCATACACATAAAATAAAAATATCTAAGACCGTCTAAGTGTAGTAAGTCTGTAAAATAAGGAGACAGGTAGCCATCTATCATTTACATAATAGTTACTATATGGCTAGACCTTACAAATTTTACTTATTACTAACAATAAAAATTTGTTATTTTTGGGAACTATTACCCCTATTATATAGAAGAAAAGACTCTGTCCAGATTCCTCTCCTAATAAGGCATAGAGCTGGGCTCAGGTTGTAAGCACTCAACACTGTTCAGCTAATGTGAAAAGGGCCAATGAGTCAAAGTCTGTTCTACGAGACTAAAAACAAAAAAACCCATTCAGGGATTGAAATTGTACATTTAATAAAGAAGTCAAGTTTTAAAAAGAAAGTCAAACTTTACACTGTTCTTTAAGACTCCAGGAACTGTTGAAACGTTAACAAATTCTGCATGTCAGGAATCGTGATGACAGTGAAGAGTACAGACATAAAGCTGACTTCCAAGGAGTCCTTCAGTGCGCTTCTGTTCACAGCCAACACTAGTGACATGCTACCAGAAGTGACCCAGTGAGCTGAGCTGCTGACACAGACTGAAGCCCCTCTGGAACACAGGCATCCTTTTCTGGCCGTGTTCCTTGGTCTAAGGTTGTGGCCAGCTCCTGCATGGAAGCGCTCTTTTTTCTAACCCTGTTTGCTACTTCCAGAGAGTTGTTTCTGGCTACTTATCTGTACTTCCTAAGGGCTCAGCTTTCTATCCCTTAGCAAAGCTTCATTTATAAGCCACAGGTCAATTTAATTTTATTTTTAGTTTAGTACTCTTCACTCCAGGCATATCCAGCTGCCCAGAGACGTCTTACTAAGATGTCTAGAAGGCAATTTCAACACTGAACTAGTCTTCTCTCATTCCAGCTTATTACTTGAAGTGCTTTCTATTTCACTAAATGGTGCCAATGGCCACAGTTGTGACTTATTTGAGAATGCTGGGAGTCATGTGTGACCACATTCTCTTCCCCATTCCTATGGCTAGCAAGAATTTCTGACTCCATGCCACAGCCTGGTCAGTCTTCCTTACACCCGGCCAGTACTCACTTGTCATCCGTATCTTTTACCTGGACTGCCAACAAACTTCTCTTAGCTGACCAGAACAACATTTCTTCCTCAAATTACTCTATATCCATGGAGGCCATTAACATTTTAGAAGAGTAGAAGGGTTGACTAATGCCTCCTACTGTTAATTAAAATAATAAGGGAAAATATAGGGTTCACCCTATTAAAACAACAAAATCCATGAAACCTACTGTTGATATGGATGCAATGTATATGTTTAAGTTTTCTTGGAGGTATATTGTATTTGTTCACATTAAATATATGTATAGTTTAACAATCACATTCCTAAGAACCTACCTCATAGAAGTAAAAGGCCTAGCACACACAGCTGTTTGTCAAACCTCATTCTTTGTAGCAAAAGCTAGAAGCAACAGTGCAAAGTTTTAACAGTGACAGCTACACCCACACTCTGCATTATCACGATGCCATGGAAGACAAGTGAGCATTCCAATGATTAAGAGGTTCAGACCTCTGTACATTACTGTTGCTATGAAACAAACTGTGATGATCATCTTGATTGACTGGCTTGAGAGATACCTAGGAGAACAGTAAAGCTACTTCTAGGTGTCTGTGCAGATGTCCTAGAGATGACTAGTCAGGAGCTCTCCGACCTAATCAATAATTGGAACCACTGGTGGATTTAAAATTGCATAGACTATGAAGAAGTGGAATTACAGAAAGTTATGTTTAATTGCATGAAGTCAAGTCATTAGAGTATGACCCTGAAGGTGAATCTTGATTCTGGATATTTCCTGTCATTTTCTGCTCTGCTTTCTGGCAGCCACGAAATGAGCAGTTTTGTTTCCCAACACCCTTTCCACCATGATACTCTGCCTCATCTCCAGAAACAAATGATCATGTACCAAAACCTCCCAGGGTGTGAGCTCAAATCAGTTTGCTCCCTCCTCCCCTAGTTTTCTTGGTCCCTGTTCAGTGATGGAAAGCTCACTAACACACACACACACACACACACACACACACACACACACACACACAGCTGTTGTTGTGTATCCATAAATAAGAAACCATGAATTTGAAAATAAATATGAGAGCCTGGAAGGAAGAACAAAAATGCATACAAAACTGATAATATGCTTTGCATTAAGGACAGGAGTGGGCCAACAGGCAAGGAAGTGGGGGAAGGTTGAGATATAAGTCCTAAGAATGCCTTAGGTATTGATGGACTCTTTTGAATGTTTTTTTTATAAATATGCATGTGCATATACAAATAGGAAAATAGATTTAAAGCTTACTTAATAAGAGGAGAAAGTTAACTGTACCAAGTATATACTAGTTTATTTTGGAAAGAAATCTCTTCTATATACAAACAAGAACAATCGAAAATGGTTAAATCTGATTTTAACAGAGAAGAAGCAGAGTGATCAGGAGATGATTATTGTTATTACCTAGTTTTCCTTACTGATGTTTCTAGAAGGTTATTTTGCTTTTATAAGCTGAAAACCAACAAGGATCATTTTTAAGGCCCTCTTTGCTATTCCCCTTCCTCTTCCTTGGCCTTTCTGCTGCAGCACCAGTGGCATAAAAAGGAAAGCTGGCTTCACAGCCTGTTCCCACCACTTTCCCAAGCCTACCTGGGTCCCTTGCCTCACGGGCCTTCCTGTTTTCTAACCACATTGGTCTGGCAGTCTTCAAACACACTTGACTTTTTTTAATGGGAGTTTTGAACATGTGATTTCTTCTTTTGAAACATTTCCCTCCCTTATGCCTTGGCCCAATCTCCAAACTCATTTAATTATTTCCTCAGGCCCTACTAAGCGTCCTATGTCCCCTATGCCCTCCTTCTATGCCCTCCCAGCATGCCTTGCTTCCCTCTTGGTGTAGAGTGACATGTTTAGTGCTTGCCTTTCTCAGTATTTGTTAGACTCCTATGGGTCTTTTCATAAATGTTTTCTCTGGATTCTAGTATACTGACACACATGGTAAGCACTGCACATGGATGACTTAAAAAAAAGTGAATTGTTTCCATGTACAGCTAACTGGCCCACAAGTGGTCTAGACTGTGGCTATAACATACTAGTTGCGTGACCCTGGGAAATGAAAGTCATGCCACGTGCTTCTTGGAGCTGTTGTGAGGGCTACAATACCAGGCACCACAGCAGTGTTTAATAAATGGGAACAATTCCCATGGGGGGGGGTCTCTTTAAATCTGAATTAAAAGTTACACAAATCCATCTGTGTTGTAGGACATTTGATCACACCATGAACAATAAAGAGCCACTTTCCCTGCTACAAAGAACAGCATCCCCTTGAACCGGAAGCCAAAATGAACTTTTCCTCCGTTCTGTTACTTCTATCAGGTATAGGATCATAGCCACCAGAGAGGAGTGACTAACAGAACCTTCCTCTACCCTGCCTCTGCCTCCACACCTCCTCTACCCTGCCTCTGCCTCCACACCTCCTCTACCCTGCCTCTGTCTCCACCTCCTCTACCCTGCCTCTCCCTCCACCTCCTCTACCCTGCCTCTGTCTCCACCTCCTCTACCCTGCCTCTGTCTCCACCTCCTCTACCCTGCCTCTGTCTCCACCTCCTCTACCCTGCCTCTGTCTCCACCTCCTCTACCCTGCCTCTGTCTCCACCTCCTCTACCCTGCCTCTGTCTCCACCTCCTCTACCCTGCCTCTGTCTCCACCTCCTCTACCCTGCCTCTGTCTCCACCTCCTCTACCCTGCCTCTCCCTCTCCACCTCCTCTACCCTGCCTCTCCCTCCACCTCCTCTACCCTGCCTCTGCCTTCTCCTTTCACTTGTATGGGCTCTCTGAGATGACACTGGTCCCACCTATACAACCTCCCCATTTTAACATCTGAAATTTAATTCTGATAAGAACATCTGACTGAACAAGGTAATGCATTCACAGGTTCTGGGGATTATGTGAGGACATCTCTAGGAAATCAACACCATTCTGTCCACCATGATGTTAAGTCAAACAAAAGGTACAGTAAAAATTTTCCATTTCTTTGTATTAAAAATACTAGAAGGTTTGTATGCTATTTACTAGATTTGTAAGAGGATGTCATATTTTGGTTTGGGCACAAGCCTACAGATGGATGTTACTGCATTTATGTATTTGTGATATCATTAACTATCAATATAATATGTACACACTGAGTACTCTTATCTGAAATACTTGGGACTCAAGTATTTCAGATTTTTTTCTCACAGTTTGGAATATTTGCTCATACATGACTCGAATGTAAACATGTTTCATATATGCCTTACATACATAGCCTGGAGGTAATTATATACAATATTTTTAGTGTGCCTATATTCCAACTATGACCAGTAACATAATGTCCTATGTGGAATTTTCTATTGTGGCATAATGGCATGCAAAAATCTTCAGGTTTGGGGACTAGAGAGACGGCTCAAGGGTTAACTGTTCATACTGCTCTTGCAGGGGACCAGAGTCCGGTTCCCAGGACCCACGTCAGGCAGCTTACAACCCTTCGCACCTCCAGGAGATCTGCTGCCCCTTTCTGGGCTGCACTGACACCTGCATTCCCATGCACACACACACACACACACACACACACACACACACACACACACACACACACTCACATTAAAAAAGCTTCACTTCCAGTTAGGGATGCTCGAACTGTTTAAACTCCTGGCTTGTAAATGAGAAAACTTGTATTCTAATGGTCTCTTTCACTGTTACAATTTGTGGTGTTTGAAAAGGGCAGACGCCCTTGAACCACATCAGGCTTGTATTAATCTTAAAATTTTAAGTTACTGAGAGAAAAATGAGATAGTCCTATTTTTGTGTTGGCTTCTCATACCTAAATATATATCCCAGTTATATACCTCATCAAGATAATTTGTAGTATTGACTCCCTTTAGACTCATCGTGATCCCGTCTAGCCATGTATTATCTGGAGAAGTCATGTACTATGATCATGGCAGAAACTTTTGAACATGATTGAACTAAGGACCTTGTAGAAAAGAGGCAGACTGACCTAAACACATCACTCTTTGGATATGGTTACATAGTCACCAGCAAGCTTAGCTAATGGCATTTCCCCCCAATATATTCATTTATAAGGGTATCCCGGAAGGTAACCATTTTTTATGATATGGGTCTCACGTATTCTGGTTGGTAATAAGTACTTTCGTGAAACATTTTACTGTGGTTTCTGCATTACTTTGATGCACTCACCTATTAGTCAACACATTTCAACATAAAAATTAACTGACTATAAGGAAAAACAAATCAGTGAGCTAGGGTAACAGATTTGTGCCAGACCTGGCCCAGAGTTACATGTGTTAGCCGGGTGTCGGTGGTGCACGTCTTTAATCCCAGCACTAAGAAGGCAGAGGCAGGCGGATCTCTGTGAGTTCGAGGCCATCCTGGTCTACAGAGTGAGTTCCAGGACAGCTTCCAAGACAATACAGAGAAACCCTGTCTCGGAAAAAAAAAGTTACACGTGTTCAATCACCACTTTAATTCACACCGTGAGCTTCCTGTGTGGCAGGCAAGGTCCAAGGTGCGGAAAAGGTGCAGAGATCCCTGCTTCCACGAAGCTCGCACTCCTAACTCCTGCTACTCCAAAACTTAACTCCAAGATTGCTCTAAACCCTGTGTCTTTCTTACCACAAACTGCAAATACTAGGGTAACCGTATGTCTTCCTGCACGGAAGGCTAGCTAACCCCAATTCCACCCAGACTGGCGTGAGAAGAACTGTGTGGGGCTGGCTCTTTCATTCGGTACGTGCTTCGCCTTCCTGTCTGCGTGACGGAGGAGGTGTGTGTGACTCCAACTCGGCAGAACTGTGGGTCAACTGCGTGCGTGCGTGGGCGCGAACGCCCCCTCGCCGTGCGGTGTCTGGTGGCGGCTGTGCTTCCGCTTAGCCACCTGGTGGCGTTGTTTCGGGGCAGGGGTTTGGACGGCGCGCGTACGCGCGGGGAAGCAGACGGGATGCAAAGCGGGGCACCGGACGGGAGCTACTTGGGTCACTCACGGCTGCAACAGGCTGTCCCGGTAGCGGCGGCGCTGGCAAGGCACGGCCCGGGGCCTGCTGGTGTAGGTGTAGGTGCCGGAGGCCTCGGCCGCCCGAGGGTTGCGGTCTGTCATCGCCGACGCCATGTCGGGGGTCGAGCCGCCTCCCCTTCGGTGGAGGCGGGCTCTGAGGCAGGTGGGGGCTAGGGAGTCGTGGGAGCCGGAGACGTGTAAATAGTGCCAAGGGCAGGGGTGCCGCGACGCGCGAGGACGGGGCTGCCGGGGGAGCGGGCGCGACGCGAGGGCGCCCGCGCAGCAGGTAGCCGCTTCTCCGGGCTTGCTCCGGGTCCCGAGGAGCGAGTCGGCCGCGCCCGCACCGGTTGCCAAGCAACGCTGGGTTCCGCCTGGAGGTAGGAACTCCAGGCAGTTCCGGCGGGCCGGGTGTCCGAAAGGGCCCGTCGCAAGGGGCGCTTCCGGCTCGTGACCCCGCCCACCTGCGGGGCTTCGGGGGCGCCTGCGCACTGGCCGCTCCTTGGCCGGCAGGGCCGCCATGGTGGTGGTGGCGGTGGCGGCGGCGGCGGCCAATGGGGCGGAGATGGCGCCGTCTGGCCCGGCTGCGGGGCGCCGCCTGGCGGGGCTGCGGTCAGCGCCATCCTCGCAGGGCCTCGTGCTCTTGCTCTTCCGGGGGCGTCCGCGGTTGTTGCTTCTCCCGCCCGCCGCAGCGCGTCCCCGCCCCGCCACCCGGCGGTGACACGCCCTTGGCAGTCGGGCTCGCAGCTCTGTTACGCGCTGGGGCCGGGCGGGCGAGCGGGCGAGCGGGCGGGCGGAGGCGGGCTGTCTCCTCTTTCCCGGCTCCTCCTCCGCTCCTCCCGCCTTCACCGCTCCGTGTCAGCGCGTTACAGTACCCCGGCTCCTAACTTTGGGAAAGGGCTGGGCAGGTGTCTGCAGGTTCCCTGACCATTTCATCCTCCGGGCTCCAGGCGCCCAAGAGCGGAGCGCTTTAGGATTGGTTTTAGACCCAGAGACTTGAAAGTTTTGTTTGAAGTGTGCGCATCCCTTGTGGTTGTTTCCTTGGGTTTGAATTACAAACCTTCAATTCAGCTATTTGCTCCCTTAATCTAGGCTTCCAATCGAGCTTTGCCCAGCGACACGGGGGTGGGAGGGCGGGCGGAGGGGAACAAATTGTAAAATTTTGTGTGTGTGTGCGTGCATGCTCTATTTTTCTAGTCTAAAAAATAAGAGTGATAGACTTTTCCCCTTTGGATTCGTGAGGATTGAAAGTGTTAATAAACTTCAGTACTTAGGACTACCTGGCACACTGTAGCTTACAGTTTAAAGTAGACGGTCACCGTTGTGTAAGTAATACTATTTAAAAGGGTTATAGTAAATGCTGTAGACAGACACTGCTTAAGACTTTCGATCTGACTAATTTTGAGGAAACACTTGAGAAAGTGACATTCAAGTAAATGAATATAATGCTGAGGTTAGCGTTTGGGAAAAGGTACCTTTAGAATGGTCTTGATGGGCGTAGCTTAGAGGCTAAAAGCAAGCTTGTTGACCCGAGTCTGGGCATCAGAACCCGCAGTAGGTGAGACCCAATTCCTGACAGTTGTCTGAGATCCACGCATACACCTCATGCACTCAAACACCAATAACTTGAAAACCTTTGATCAAAGGTTCGAAAGTCTGAGAGGTAGAGATCCAGAAGGGTTTGTGTAGATTTGTAGATATACAGAAGAGTTGGCATTACTTCATACAAATATGTGACAGCTTATCAGAGTGTTTTTACTCCCTTGGAGCAGGAAACCAGTTACAAACAGTAGAAACAACAGTCGTTTCACTGAAGTTCAGAGATAGAGTGATAACTTGGGGTTTCGGCACTCTGTCTTCCAGGAGGAAGGAGAAACAGATTGGTTGCTTACACAGGGAAGACTGAGTACTGAGTGGGTAACCAATAGTGACATCCTAGGTATAGCTGGGATTTATCTATGATGGGATCGCTACTGAAAGTTCTGTAAGTTTGTATCCTCAGTCTGGTTCTTTTTATACGACCCCTAGAGCAATCTCATTTACTTTCTTCGTTATAGTAGAATTTATGTATTTGTGATCTTTTGTGTAGAGTTTCAGTTGATAGGCCCAGGTATCTATTCTACAGGATTGACTGTCTTGGATGGTCTGAAATGCAATGATTTGGTTGAAGGGTTTTGAGTATCTGCTATATGTCAAGAACTGGTCATTGGAAACTAGAGGTATAGAAATGAAAAATAACAAAACAAAATTAACAGTCTTTGTGGAATCTATATTTTAGTGGGTGAGTCATTAAAAAATAAGACAAGGGAGTAAATGTTGTATTTGACTCCCTAGACTAGGTTCTAGACATGGATTTTAGGCTGGTTAGAGAAGGCCATGGAAGGATGCAGTCAGTGACATTCCAGCAAAGACGAGAAGGGGTGAGGTAGGGAAACTTAAGACTAGTAGAACATTCCAGATGAAGGAAGCAGCAAGAATAGAGTTCTCCCATCAGGCATGTTCCAAGACAAGGCTAAGGAGTAAGAGTGGGTGGAGCAGGAGAGCAGAGAGGGGAGGAAGTTAGTAACCAGACTGTGTCCCACTGAAAGTGTGAAAGCCTGGGTGTTTACTACAGACTTAAAAGCCCCAAAGAGTTTCGAATAGGAATTTGACAATTTTGGTTAAAAAGAGCCACACCACTTGAGTTCCTTCTCTGGGAATAGACTGCTATGATGCACAGGCAAGGAGACCTGACAGGAGACCCACACATCCAAAGATTTACCTACACCCCGATGATGACTCATAAGGGGTGTGGGTCAATATTGCACAGTGACCACATCGACCACTCTCCAGCATCTTTTTTTTTATTTTTTGGTTTTTCGAGACAGGGTTTCTCTGTATTGTTTTGGAGGCTATCGGTCCAGCCCAGCCTCGAACTCACAGAGATCCGCCTGCCTCTGCCTCCCGAGTGCTGGGATTAAAGGCGTGCACCACCACCGCCAGGCTCTCTTCAGCATCTTTAACAACAACTTGCATGGATTTTGGGATGTTGAATTAAAAAAAAAACAAAACAAAGCTCTGTTTTCTTTTGAACTTGTTCCTAAAGAATGATTTGTCTGACTGGGAGTCATAGGCAGAGGCCACTCAGGTTGTAGACCAGAGTGACTGGAAGAATGAGTTGTCGTTTACAGGAAACCCTGGAGCAGAGCAGGTGTAGGGGTGGTCTTTGGAAGTGCAGTCAGGTCATCAAGATAGACCTGTGCATCCTTCATCAGGTGGGAACGGCTCAGCAAACGGAGGGTAGGGAGTGCAAAGTTTCCGGGGACTGGGCTAGGACAGAGAGAAAGATTTTTGACATATAGATGGTATTTAGAGTTGTAAACCTTGATAGGATTACTAAAGGGATGTAGAGAAAGAACAGGCCCCTTGAGCTCTTCCAGTACAAGTCAGGAGATGGAGGGAAAACTAGGGAAGGAGACTGAAAAGGAGTAGCAAAGAGATGGAAGGAAGCAGAGTCTGGTCACCTAGGAGACAGGGAGGAAAGTGAAGGAGAGGGAAGGACCACAGTTTCCAACATCTGCAGGTCAAAGTGAGGACCCAGCGAGAGGGAAGGAGTGGACCTGTGCAGTTATGGTTGAGAAGGCTCAGTTATAGCGGGTTCAAGGGCAGTGGGAGGAGAGGAATCTGTGGCTGGGCAGGCTTCCTATGAATGAAGAGAAATGGTCCAGGAGACGGAGATGAAGTAGACCAAGAGAAAAGTGGGTATGCTTATGGGGGTGACCCAATGGTGGTTTGGAGGATGTGGGACAGGAAAGGAAGAGTTGGTAACATGCCCTTTTTGCACAAGCAGGGTGGGTAGCTCCTCCCCGGTCAGAGGAGCCTGTAACCAAGCTAGCAAGAAACTCCATGGTTTCTACTTCAACTTCCTGCTTGGTTTCCCGCCCTAACTTCCCTCAGTGATGTACTAACCTGTAAGATGAAATAAGCCCTTTCCTCCCCTAAGTTTCTTTGGCCATCGTTTTTGCCACTGCAGCAGAATGAATTTAGAGCGCCTAGTAAAGGGTTAGATGTGGGAATGAGGAGTAGGTGGATATAGGATGGTCGCCACGTTTTTGGCCTGAGTGAAATTACACACAATCACATGATTCACTGAGATACAGTCATCTGTTGGAGGGAATGGAGGCTCAGAGTTGCATTCTGGATGTGCTCATTCTGAAATTGGTGTGCACATGCCATGTAGGATACAGCTATGACTGAGCAGGGTATTTGCAGGGGCCCGAAGATGTGAGAGGCAGGCAAAGAAGCAGAGTGGTCTGTGGATATCTTTCCTAGATGCTCCAGCTCCTGTATGAAAAGGATGTGACACATTTTCTACACTGGCGATCCTAAACATCTGCATGTTTAAAAAGCTAAAGCAAATAAATCCCTCTGCTCGTGTAATGTGGACAGGAACCCTGACTTAGTACCAAGCTGAAAGAAAACTATCATCCTTTCCATAGGAGACGTAAAAAAAAAAAAAAAAAGAAACTGTTTTAGGAAGAAGTGACTTAAAGTGGTCTTTAGTTAAAACACACAGAAAAAGAGCACTAAAGAAATGTATCCAGAAGTTGCTAAGAATGTATTCTATGCAGGGAAAAATTTTGCGTATTTGTCAGCCTTCTTAAGTTTATAATTCACAATTTGGGTTTTCATCCTGGATGAGCATCCATGTTTCTGAACTAATCTGTATTTGCAAGCAACCATTTTCTTTTCCTATAGAGAAACTTCAGAATCATGTAAACACAGGGGCCTCAGAACCTCATTCTGGCCTAAAGGAGCCCGGCTTTCAGGCTGACGGTGTTCTGCATGGTGGTGGTTCCTTGAACCCGGTGGTAATACCCAGAACTGTAGACATGCTGCTTTTCAGTTTCCTACAGACCTGAGAAGCAGAGATGATGTTCCGATCACTTCCTTTTGATCTAACGGTTTCAGAAATTCTCTCTAGTAAGAGCCAGAGGGGGGCAGAGATTCCCAGTCAGAGCAAAACCGTGACTCAGAGTGTGCAGCACGGCTCTGTTCTTGGGAAGTTTTCAGTATCAAAACATGTTGTGTTTTTTAATGAAAAGTAAAATCTATATCCAGTAGATGGAAATTTCTTATAAGAAGATATAAAACCCCCTGAAACTTTCTATTCTTGAAAATGAGAGTTATTTTTGTCAAAGGATATGAGACCCGAATGTATTTTTTTTAATTGGCAGGTTAAGATAGGGCCTGTAATTCTGTGATTGCATTCACCGGGACTCTTCTTCCCCCACACGCCGCCTTGGTACAGCCCTAGGCTGTGTGCTACCATTTCAAAACACAGGGGATGTGGGCATGAGGAATGAAAGTAGTTTAAGATTTGAGAATTTTAATTTAAGTTGTCTTAATACCAGATCATGTGTAAGCTTCACTGATGGGATTACTCTGTGATTTTAATAACATTTCAGGTCTGTAAACTTGGACAGGCTTATTACAGAAGGCACACAGAATCAGAATCCAGCCCAGAATATTGCCCCCTTCTCTCCAGGGACATGCACAGTGAGGGCTGTACTGTTAGGTGATAGGGTGGCTGTCTGATCATTTATCCGAGTATTTGTAGCAAAGTGTTACAGGATTTTTTCATTGTGGTTGGAAATGATACATAGTATTTTATGGCACTTGAATTATGTTGTTCCTAAGAATAACTTCATATTATAATTCATGTGTCTAAATCCCTAACAGACAGTAAACAGCCACATGCCCCAGAGCACACTGGGATGTATACAGCTGAAATCTGTCCCTT